CGCTCACTCACGCGGGGGGTGGGGGGTTGTTATGTCGAAATGGTTCATTATGTGGGGTCTTGAGGAGTTAATAGTTCCACACAGGACTCGAGAGGTTTTGTGCAAAAAAATAATACACTGTACAGTGTCTACAGGAACCTATAGTTTCAAACACGGGGGCAGGGGCGGTGGGGTGTAATGCCAAAATAATACATTACACAATACACAGGGAGTAATATACTGTGTTGTGAACACATCAGATTCAATAAGATTGTTCTTGTGCTGTCTCCGCGCGTCTAACGAGGCGTGTTTTTCTCTCTCCTGCGCCCCGTAGGATCTGCTGATGGTCGTCTACCTGTCCAACCTGACTGCGACACAGCTGGCTCTGAGCGAAAAAATCAGCCTGCTATAGTGGCGCCATCTCACGATCGCCGCGCGCTCACCACACCGACGAAAGCCCACAGAGTGCGAATCGGAGAGCGCGTCCGATAACGATTCGGTTTCGGATGCGATTGAAACATCATTATGATTATTATTATATATTATAATTATAATATTATTATTAATGTAATGCGGTTGGTGTGTATGACGTACGATTTTGTGTATCATGTCACATGGGGCCGGGTAGGTGTGGTGCAAGCGTCCTACCAGAAAGTTATGAAAAAAAGGAAAGCGATCGTAACACAAAAATAAAACAGAAACGTGTACATATAACATTGCCCAGTTGTAAGTTTATTGTTTCATATTGTTTAGCATATTAAATACATTCTTTATAGTATAATGCCATATATATATATATATATATACGGCACACATCAAACAACATACCCGTGTACGTAAAGAGATATTTACTGTGGCAGTCTATTGGCGGCGTGGCAACGAAATGCAAAGAGCTAAAACATCTTCAAACAACTCGAGCCTGTTGGATTTTCGCCACGCCGAAAAGCCAAGCACACACAAAGCTAGCAAAACAATTTAAATAGGGGAACGAGCACGAAATATCTAACCGTTTTTTTCATATCACAGGGTGAATACAAAACTAGCAATTTTTTTAAAACGCCCATAAAAAAGTCCACGCATTCCCTATCTTCTTCCGTTTCACGTGTTCTGTACGTTTCGCCAATGACATGAGTTTTTAGTTGAGCACGTGATAGGAGCATGTGATTATCACGCATACACATAAGGTCACGCGCAGTTCCTACATCAACCCACCCGATTACCTAATGATTAATTCATTTTTCAGGTAAGCGACAGTGTAGCTTTCGTTATCATAACCACCCACTGCGCTACACAACTTCCTACTTGAATCTAACGCGTGCTATAGCAACGAGAGATCAAATGATGGTGCCGCTCTCGTAAGGGAATTTGTGTCCCTTTACCACGTACGACAACGAAGGTTATATCATTTTTATATAGTAACGAGGGTAAGTAACGGTGGGGGGGGGGGAAGTAGTGAGCAGTGGTCACATGTCCACTACAAAGAGCGAGATTACGCTTACCAAATATACACGAGATTAATACTGGTAAATGAATAACACGCCGTCTAGTATTAATAGTAATAATAATAACGATGATAACAACAACAACGTAAGAGTAACGCTACGCTATACGCAAGCCACGGACGTTTATCTGGGAGGGGGAGGGGGTGCGGGGAGGAGAGGGTGCGAGGTGAGGGGAGGAGAGGGTGCGGGGACGAGAGGGTGCGGGGACGAGAGGGTGCGGGGTGAGACGTGAGGGTGGGACGAGTATATTGAGGGTGCGGGATACGAGGGTGCGGCGGGGAGGGAGAGGGGCTGCGGGGGCACGAGAGGGTGCGGGGGGAGGGGTGGTGTACCAACGTGGGTAGGAACTGACCTGGCTGGCTGGAGTGACAGCAAGCAATATACCACACACACTACTCAGTAACAAAGTGCCGCAGTGGCGACAGTTTTGGCGTTCACGGTTGATGAAATACACGCACGGACGTGTCTCGTTTGCCCGACCTGGCAACAACATTAAAAGAAGAGGAGGTGGAGCAAGCAGAAGGAGTAGGAGGAGGAGCAGAGAGAGGAGAGAAGGTACAGAGAGAGCAGGAGAGGAGGCACGGGAGGAACAGAATAAAGCAATAAGGCAGGAGGAATGAAGAAGCCGTTATCTTGGCTCACGAACACTTACGTGAATTAGTATCTAGGTACTTACAAGTTTAAATTCAACTTATTCAGGGTGGATTAATTAAGATTAGGTAGTCCCACGTTCATTCATGTGATGGTTCCAACTAATCGGGAGCCAGCACATGCGCGTAGTATCCTGATATTACTATATTGGCCGACACCTGGGGCCCGTTGAAACACCTCGACCCCCAGAAACAAAATTACTCTTAACATTAGTCCTCTAACATTTACGATGTTTCTTGACAAACGGCCACCCTGGTTCGCAACGTTAAACCGTCTATCCACGTAATGTAAGGTAGAGATACTAGAGGCGTGCACGCCAAGCTAAATGCGTAGCGGCATACAGTACACTGAGACGAGACGTGCTAACTAACATTCACAGGTTGCCCTAACAAATCAGCGTACTATACATAAACAAACGATTCGGTTCCACGATATTTTTTTTACATACACACATTCTGGCAATGATAGCAAAATCTTTATAACGTTAGGATTACAGTGTTGATGGCACGCGACGGCTTACAGATATATATCCTGGTTAGGATACACCTGGTTATTACTAACTTACAGACGGGTATACCCGGTTAGAGATACACCTGGTTAGCAGGCTACTACCTTGGTTACAGATATAACCTGGGTTACAGATACACCTGGTACTAGACACACTTCGCTTACAGCACTACCTGCCTTACAGAATACCAAAGTGCATATAACATTTCAACGTAAGTGAATTGGGCAAGCTTCAGACATCAATAGCACATCATAGCAGTGTAACAGAAAGCCGATGAGAAAAGACAAACTTCAGTACCTAGGCTGGTATGGCCAGTTTCCCTCGTTACACAAAGACGTCGTCGATTCGCGCTGCGAAACACAAAGGCACATATCGAACGACACAGCGCGTGGGACAGGCACTTGGTAGTATTGATCAGGGCCGTAGCTACCATTAGCAATAGAGGCAAATGCCTCCTACAAATTTCTCAAAAAAAAGTCACGAGAAACCCAAAATATATTACCACATTAATTGAACGCTGTAGTCCCCAGCTGAAAATGAAATTTAGATGTTAATAATGCAGAGAATGCACCACCAGAGAGCCACACATTATAACGTTGGGCCTTCTGGGCCCTTAAGCGAGGCCCCCCACCGATACCCACGCACCTTTGGCTCGCTTTCGCTCCCTTGTTCTTTAACTCACAAATTTGCCTCCTACAAATTTACCTCTGGCTACGGCCCTGAGTATTGCATCGATATGATAGTATATATCTACTCCGGAGTTTCCCCGTACTTCCCTATACGTCGCGCGGTGTAGGCGCGACACTACACACAGTCCTGTACAAACAGTCGCGCAAGTACGTGCAAATAGGCAGTACACGAAGTCGAATAACATTATTAGTACCCTACGCTGTCGGGTGACAGTTACAGTCAAGGCTTTCACAATACATGTAATATCTAGCCCTGGATTGTATCTAATTTGCCTCTCCTCCAACCCCCCCCCCCCGATGTCTAGGACGCCTGCGTTATTTTGCATCGCTCGCTATATACTCTCGTATACTATCATCATCATGCTATATACTCATATGGGAGCCGCGATTAACATAGCATATTGCTTGACTCGTATATAGCTATCTGAGGCATATCACAATTTATCGCCGGCGGTATTCTTAGATAGAGCAGACAGCGCAGCAGCCCGCAACCATAGGTAATCGTCGTAACGAACGCGAAACACCCAACGAGCGAATCTTTAGTAAACCCACTCGAGCAAAAACTCACGAGGAACATCACGCGGAACACCACGCGAGCGAACACCTTCACACGCATGAGCGGAACACCACGACCGAGCGAACACCATGAGGGAAACACCACACGAGCGAACACCATGAGGGACACACCACGCGAGTCGAACACCATGACTCACTGATGAGGGAACACCACGAGTGAACACCATCGCGACAACACCACGAGTGAACAGTACGCGAGCGACACCACCGAGTGAACCACACGCGAAACGTGAACACATGAGTGCACATCACGCACATGAACACCTGCGAGCGAACACCACACGAGTAAATTCGTCTATGTGAAACGCACACGAGCGAAGCACCGACACGT